AAGGTCTAGATGTCCAAAGGAGATTTCTTACAAAATTGCCAAGATATTTTATGATGACAAGATACAAACGTGACACGTTCACCCCCCTGCGTGGGTTTGAGCTTACTTTCCCAGTATCTCCCAGTCCAATGATTTGCAAATACTCCTAGCATTTGTCCTTATCTTCTCCTCCCGGTGGCCTTTCCTAATACCTGCTAATTAGAGGCTGAAGTCTCTGCTTCAGAAAGATTTTTATTAGCCCGAGCTAATCAAAGAAGATAAGATGATAACATTTCAGTTTCTGCATTAAAGAATATTAGGTTTTTAAAATTCCTTGTTTCCACAACTCATTTCCTCTTTCCATTACCAGAAAAATCTTAGCTCTCCTCATCAGGATTCTTAGCGACTGGGGTTCTAAAAGTGTCATCCCCAGACCGATGGCATCATCATCACCTGGGAACTTAGAAATGCATGCAGACCTACTGAATCAGTAGCTCTGGGTGGGGCCCCACAGGTGATTCTGAGCATGCCCAGGTTTAAGAACTGCAGTTCGAGACCATGCTGTTGAAAAATTTCCCTCTATCTTCTTTATACATCTTTAGCAACTAAGAAGATGTTGAATACACATTATGGAATTGTTTTATACAAATAGTTGGGTTTGTTATTCACAAAGTAAAACTGTATTGTATTGAAAGACACCCCTCCCAGGAGATTCTGCTATGTCCCTCACACCTCACCTATTAGATAATCCCTGTACTAGAGAACATTTAAGAACATTAAAGGATCTGGAAGACCCTTTCCTGGTCTAATGATCTGGGAGGGATACTAAACTTACATATCATTACTGCATTTCTATGCAGATGGCCCTCCTTTGGAAATCTTGCATAAGGTCCTCAAAGCCTGTTCAATTTAAGAAGCACTTTCTAGAACCATGCCTAATCCCGGAGAAAACCAAATTAACTCTCACCACAAAGTCGTATGGAATCACACTCTTGGAAAACATGAATACTTCTTGAAGCTAAGGAAGTATTGCCTGCTTTTGACGCCAGGAGTAACTATGGCCATGAAATTCCTTGGAAAGACCTCATTGGTACTGATAACTGTAAAAACCCTGGAGTAGTTGGTAATAGAAAGCAGAGAAGCATTTGTGTCTACCCTTGGTAGAACATGTGGACCCCAGATCACATTTTCATGATGGAATATAAATTAAAAGTGATCAGCAGAACTCATTCTAAGCCTTGATTATTTTCCAGTTTTTCTTACATGGCATTGTGTTAGGTTAGTACCAAAATAACAAACATACCTTCCAAAGGCCTTTGAAAGGTTTAGACATTCACAAAGATAGTCTTGGTCAGAGACTCCAAAATGCCAAAATGAGGAAATTACGAATATAATTATATCTTACTCACTACATGTATTAAATACCCCTTCCCTGTACTTAGGGTCACTGTGCCATTTTAATATTCTCAGGCTAAGACTAAGACTTTGATAATGTTTGTCTCTTTACAAAGCCTTTTGAGATCCAAGAAGTACCGCAGGCTAAATAGTAACTTACTGATGTGTGTGTGTGTTGGGGGGGGGGGTCTTTCTGATCAGAATGTGGTCATAGACATTGTCAGTAGTGTGCTGGTAATGTTTAACAACCAGCTCTTCAAATAAAAAAGCCCCAGTTTGTAGCATTTGAGAGTTTCCATGGTGTAAATATTAGCACCATGACCAATTTCAGGCTATCAATCTGACATCATTGCACAGAAAGTTGGGAAAAGGTGCACACAGTTGGAACTCTCAGATTGGTGTAAGACAGCTCCGGCACATCATTGGAATGGAGAAAATTTGGAAAGTAGAGGAAATGATGAAAAAAAAAAAGCAGAGGACATAAAATCATAATATTGCTGCTGAGAACAAAACTCTGTTTTAATATTGGATTACATTAACTTCTGTTACTTTGTGGGTTTTTATGTGATTGTTATCATTTTGTATATATAATTTTGTGTTTTGCTGTTGTGTTCATGAATATTATTTTAATGATGGCATAATATTCCATTAATTTGATGTAAATCATTTATTAGCCTTAATTGCAGACATTGAAGTAACGTTCCCTGATTTTAGGTATTGCTATAAATAATGCTATACATCCCCTTCCAACTCTGGCTTGACCTTCATTTCTCTTGCCTGGACCCAGGCTCACTTCACTCCACTCCAGCCTACTGCCGCTCAGGCTTATTCTCTCATTTCTCTCAAGGCTTTTTACAAGCACCGTCTCCAAGAGGCATTTCCTGATCCCCTACCCAAAGTTGCCACCCCTCATCCCTATTCACTATCTGCCTTCTCTGCATCACTTTCCTCCATAGCATTTATCACTGTCTGATGCTGTATGCATTTTATTTATTCCTCACTTAGAGTATAAGTTCCAAAAAGACAGTCAGTATTCCTAGGGTATGTGACACTCGACAAATATTCGTTGAATGATACTCCAGCCATGTAACTAAAGGTTTAGTGCTGTCTTTAGAAAATCAATTTATATATTCTCTTTAAATGCCGAAGATGATAGCCATTTGCAATATTTGTAACAAACATATTTCTCAATTGTTTTTAAGGTTTTATATTTTTGTCCAAGCAGTGATTTTTTTCCATTCGAATTACACTTACAAAATTCTTATTTATAAGGAGATCAGATAACTTTTTGCCTACACTTTTTGTTTTAATGAAACATAAGTAGTTATATACATATGTTTGCGGGTTAACTATTACTATACATTTACAATATGTGATGATCAAATCAGGATAGTTGGCCTATTTGTCATTACAGAACATACTCATTCTTTGTGCTCATTAATCAATTTCTTCCTAACCCCCTTCCCTCTCCCTGCTCTCTCTCCCTTTACCATTTCTAATAACCACAGTTCTATTCTCTCCTTCTGAAAGTTCAACTGTCTTTAGAAAATCAATTTATATATTCTCTTTAAATACCGAAGATGATAGCCATTTGCAATATTTGTAACAAACATATTTCTCAATTGTTTTTAAGGTTTTATGTTTTTGTCCAAGCAGTGATTTTTTCCATTCGAATTACACTTACAAAATTCTTATTTATAAGGAGATCAGATAACTTTTTGCCTACACTTTTTGTTTTAATGAAACATAAGTAGTTATATACATATGTTTGCGGGTTAACTATTACTATACATTTACAATATGTGATGATCAAATCAGGATAGTTGGCCTATTTGTCATTACAGAACATACTCATTCTTTGTGCTCATTAATCAATTTCTTCCTAACCCCCTTCCCTCTCCCCGCTCTCTCTCCCTTTACCATTTCTAATAACCACAGTTCTATTCTCTCCTTCTGAAAGTTCAACGTATTACTGTGTTTGTTCTTTCTCAAAATGGATTAAAGACTTAAATATAAGACCTGAAACTATAAAACTTCTAGAAGAAAACATAGGGGAAACACTTCAAGATGTAGAACTGAGCAAAGACTTTATAAAAAAGACCCCAAAAGCACAGGCAACAAAATAAAAAATAAACAAATGGGATTATATCAAACTGAAAAGCTTCTGCACAGCAAAGGAAACAATCAACAAAGTGAAAAGACACCTACAGAATGGGAGAAAATATATGCATCTGACAAGGGGTTAATACCCAGTATATACAAGGAACTCAACTACCTTACCAGTAAAAAAACCAAATAATCCAATTAAAAATGAGCAAAGAAGCTGAACAAGCATTTCTCAAAGAAAGACATACAAATAGCCAATAGGTACATGAAAAAATGCTCAGCATCAGTAATCATCAGGGAAATGCAAATCAAAACCACAATGAGATATCATCCCACCCCAGTTAGACTAGCTATTATCAAAAAGACAGAGAATAACAAATGTTTGCAAGGATGCGGAGAAAAGGGAACCCTCCTCCGCCATTGGTGGGACTGTAAATTGATGCAGCTACTGTAGAAAACGGCATAGAGGTGTCTCAGACAACTACAGATAGAACTGCCATCTGATCCAGCAATCCCACTTCTGGGTATATACCCAAAGGAATGGAAATCATCATGTCAGAGGGATACCTGCACTCCCACGTTTATTGCAGTGCTGTTCACAATAGCCAAGATGTAGATTCAACCTAAATGTCCATCAAAGGATGACTGGATAATGAAAATGTGGTATATAAACATAACAGAATGCTACTCGGCCATAAAAAGAATGAAATTCTTTGATTCTTAGCACCATGGATGAAACTGGAAAAACTATGTTATGTGAAATAAGCTAGGCAGGAAAGAGAAATATCACATGTCCTCACTCGTAAATGTAAGTGGAGCCAAGGCAGGAAGGAAGGAAGTCAGAGAGGGAGGGAGAGAGGACCTACACTTTATTCTAATATTTTTTGGGTTTGATCTTGTTACATGTAACTCTTTAATATATAAAGAATTTAGTTAGATAAAATGAAGATCTAAATTGTTTTGTTTCATGTAAGTTATTGTTGGGTTTTTGTTGCTATAAATGGCATTGAATTTTAATCATGCTCTGTAATTTTTTTAAATTTGACTTGAGTATTTTCCTCTCATGTAAAATCTACAGGCATCAAATCTTAATAGACATTTCTTAATTATCTCCAGGATATTTTCATGAAAGTATCTCTGTATTTTAAAAGCACTTTACAATATGGACTAAATCTCTTTGAGTTTGTTTTTGTTATCACTACAAGTTCTGATAAGACACGGAGCAAATAAAAGGAAATATAATAAGAAGTTGGGTTCCCAGAAGTGGAAATATCAAGGACTGAGGTCAGATCCACCTCTAGCCACATTTTTCTTGAAGCACCTGCCGGGTGTTATTGGGATTGAAGAATTGACCCTCTTACTGACACTCCGTTAAGCTCCCTACATGACCCATAGTTGCTGCTTGATAAATATTTGTAGATTGGATTGCATTGAACCTTAGGGCAGGATACCTTTCCAGGAAAGCATTCCGAGGACAAGCTTTCCATCTCCATCTCCCTTCTGTTTTCTCCTTTGCTTAGTTGCGGTCCAGCACCGAGCTCCATCCAGACCTGCTCACAGATTGCCTCACCGTGCAGCCCCTGCAGCCGGCCACTTCCCCGAGAGACGCTACTGCTGATGGGACTGTGGGATGCTCCCCCGGGCCTGGGCCTGACCTTTACACAGGTAAGGACAGCAAAGGCAGATCCCACCACTACTACTCTTTAAGCTAACCACTCTAGAGTTAAAGGGGATGTTCACATGAGAAAAATTCTCCCGAGATTGTCTGTATTTTGCTTTATTAGTGGGCTGCAAATTGCTTCCCTCCCCATCTGATTCCTGACCAGGGTTTGGCAGTAGACTGTTTTTTTCTCATCAATAAACAGAATAAAATAATGCATTAGTTTTTTCAGTTCTGGACTTCTGCCAAAAGTTCAGTGCACCCAACCCTCCCAGGTATCTTAAATTTATTGACTTGATTTAGACTCAAAGGAAATGCTTCCCCCTTAACCACATGACAGGCTGCGTGTGAATTTCTTAATGGAACAGTCATTGTCATCTTTGCCTTTTAAGAGGAAGCCCCAGATCTCTAAGAAAATGTTCACACCAGTAAACTAACTCGTGGGAATGTTCATTAATGTTTGCCAACCTTTGGGGGAGTTGGAGGGGATGGCACTCCCAGACCACCGTCCTTCTGCCTGGGTTTAAATAGTAGGTGACTCTATATTTGGAAAATTGTGTGTATGTAGTAAAAAAAATAAGAAAAATAAGAATGGATTAATAAGCAATAAGGAAGTTATTACTTTCTTATCCCGCATTTTTGTGCATTTTCTACTCTCTATAATGGTGTTTACTTGTGCAAACATAATTAGTTATCTTTCCGTATAGAAAGCTCTTACTGGCATGCCACAAATATGAAAAAAGTCTCCCAGCTCCACATTCCAACAATGGGAATTTTCTATTTCCTATAGGTTGCAAATCCCATTTCCACCCCATCTGATTCCAGAGCCAGGTTTGGCAGCAGATTTTTTTTTTTTTTTTTTTTTCCACTTACTCTTAGAGACAGCATAGCCTCTGATTTTTGAGACACAGGGAGATGAGATTAAAACTTACTTGAAGGGCTAGACAAATCTTTCAGAGGTTTCAGATACAGGTGCATATATACACATCAAATGTGCCAGTGTACAATGTTACCAACATGTACATAAATATTTAGTATTCTCAAAAGAAGACATACAAATGGCCAACAGGTTTATGAAACAATGTTTAACATCATTAATCATCAGGGAAATGCAAACCAAAACCACAATGAGATATCATCTCATCCTAGTTAGAAGGGTTATTATTAAAAAGACAAAAATATTAAAGGCTGGCAAGGATGTGGAGAAAAGGGGACTCTCATATGCTGTTGGTGGGAATGTAAATTAGTACAGCCATTAGGGAAAACAGTATGGAGGTTCCTCGAAAAACAGAAAATTGAACTTCCATATGATACAGCAATCCCACTCTTGGGTATTTATCCAATGGAAAGGAAATTAGCATACCAAAGAGATATCTGTACCCCACATTTTTTGCAGTACTATTCACAATAGCCAAGAGATGGAATCAACGTAGGTGTCCTTCAAGAAATGAATGGGTAAAGAAAATGTCACATATATACAATGGAATACTACTAAGACGTGAAAAAGAATGAAATCCTGGCATTTGTGGCAATTTGTATGAATATGAACCTGGAAGGCATTATGTTAAGTAAAGTAAGTCAGGCACAGAAAGATAAATACCACATGCTCTCACTCATGTGGGATCTAAAAAAAAATTTGAGTTCATAGAAGTAGAGAGTAGATGTGTGGTTACTACAGACTGGGAAGGGGAAGAGGAAAGGGGGATAGAGAGAGGTTGGCTAATGGAAAAAAAATCACAACTGCATAGGAAAAATAAATTCTAGTGGTGTACAGTAGTGTTAGGCATCTGTAATTAATAATTTGTCGTATGTTTTCAAATGGCTAAGAGAAAGGAGCTCAAATGCTCTCATCACAAAGAAATTATAAATTTTTACAATGATGGATATGCTAATTACCTGATTTGATAATCACACTTCGTATACAGTACTGAAATATAACTCCGTACCCCGTAAATACGTGCAATCAATGTGTGTCAATTTAAAAATTAATTCATTAATTTAAAAACATAGAAAAGCTTGACTATCTTTTGTTTGTCTATTTGTCTGTTTGATTGGCCAAATATTTGACATATGATCATCTATTCCAACACATTAAATTAACAATCAGTTTTGAACAGGCTATAAAGCATTCCTCTACTTCTTCAGTTCATATATCTGTGATCTTACTAAAGACCTGCAACCCAACAGTTAAGGGTCAAAGCTAAGAAGAAGAGATTGAAAAATGTTCCAACATTCAACCCAAAGAGTTTGTAGTGATGGATTAGCCTTGTTGCATTTCAACCTCTTGGAAATGGGTTTCGGAAAATCATGGTATCTATATCTGTGGAAAATGTGAGGACCTCTGTTGTGTGGAGCATACAGCATATGGCTCATTTTCAAATCTGAAACACTTGTATTGGTGTGTTTTTGTATGTACAGCAGTATTTTGAAAGTTTTAGAGTTTGGAAGTTTTTAAAGTTTAGTGTGAAATGGATTTTTCATTCTAAATAGATTTCTACTTTTTGTTCATGATGCTTTTCTGTTTGATCCTCGAAAAGATTTCGAGCCCATGGCTTTGCGCCTCCAGCTGTGGTAGTTGAGCAGCCATATGGCATAATGGGCGAGGAAGCCTAATTTGCCACAGCCATCAGTGCAGCATCTTCAGGTTGACCCACATTTTCTGTGACTCTGAGAACACTTGAAACAGGCAGGTGGCCGTCTTGATCAATTTTATTCCTGGAATTTTACTTCTCCAGGTAGCTTATAACTGTGAAAGTTTATTCTCCCTCCTTCTTTATTTCTGCTTCCTTCAGGTCCTGTTTTACTTTCCCAATTCCTGCCTTTTCTTTTTTCCGATTGATCTTGCCTTTTTTTTGCTGAGTAGGCAACAAACCCAGAGGCAGAACCAGAAGGAGGAAAAACAACAAACAAAAGTTGCAAGCCTTCCTTTTAAAGTTCTAGAAATGCCCTTGTCAGGAGTGCATATCCACACCAGCTTCACACCTGTGCTATAGATCTATGGAAAGAAGCCAACCCGTGAAAAATGTGTAAAGTTGCAAAAGGAAACTGTTCATCAATTAGTTAAATGTAAAGTCTGAAGTGTTAAGGCAACTTGAGAAAGATTAAAATTTGGCTAAATGGCAAAAGTACTTGGAGTTATTCCCTTTATGTCCTATTATACAAAATCAAGAAAACATCTGTGTCTGAAGTGTTAAGGCAACTTGAGAAAGATTAAAATTTGGCTAAAAGGCAAAAGTACTTGGAGTTATTCCCTTTATGTCCTATTATACAAAATCAAGAAAACATCTGTTTAGTGATTGCCAAGCATTTAGACCTTTAAATACTAGTAAATTGATTTATCACAAAACTGTTTTGATGGAAACCTGTTGAGAATGTATGGGTGTAGGATAGGAAGAAATTAAGTATGGCGCTGAACACCGTGACCCTTCAGAAGCCATGATGATTTGAGAACTCATGTTCTCAAGAAGTCATGGTTTTGAAATGGAAACTTTTAGTGGCTGTTAGACAATGATGTATAAGATCCCAAGAGAGGGATAATGTGCACAGCATTAAGATGAACAGGAAAGATGACAGTTCTGACACATACAAATCCTACAAATCTCCCAATGTGTTGGCTTTCGTTACTGAAACAAACTATTTAGGTTGGTAAGACAGAGCTTGATTGGAAAGGATTGCCTGAAAAGACTTATTTCTGTGGAAGAAAATAGTGTCCCAGGTTAAATCAGCCAAATATCACTACAGGTCATGCTGTGGATTATTTTAAATTGAGGTGTTTACTTGTCTGCTTTTCTGAAAATCCCAGGGCTCCCCAAGCCTGTTCCTGAGCTAACTTGAGAGCAGTGTTGTGATCTAGCAGGAAGGCCAAGGCAGTGAGGAACAGGCCTCAAGGATGGCCCACTTTTATTTTTTGCCTTTGTGTTCAGAGGTTTTGTGCCCTAGATGGATAATGCCCCAGGCCAGCCTGTAAATTTAGGTGATTTATCTGAAATCTGCAAGAGACTCTTTCATAGCCAGTAGATCAAGATGTGAATGCCACTTTCCAGGCTTACTAGCTATATAGCTCTTCTGGTGAGCTCCTGTGATTAACTAATGAAGAGCNTGGAAGATGATCTGTCTCATGGGGGGATCACAAAAATCATGGCCCCTTCCAAACCGAAGCTGTACTTTGGCTTCAGTAAAACATGACCTTTGCAAATGACCTAAGTCAGGCAAACATCATAGAGGACAGTGTGGTTGAGATGTTTGAGTCTCACAGAAACTACCCGTCAAGTGAGAAGTTAGTGCAGCTGGAACAAGAGAAATCTGCAAGAATGAGGGAATGTGATCAGTATCACTTCTATTAGGTGATAAAATAATTATTATGTTTAGAGCTTATGAGTCCTGTTGAATTATCCAAATTTTGAATGTAACCTTAGATTTTTCAGAAAAAAATAATATTATAGGGAAATGTAGAAGGAAAATAAAGACCTTTTTTAAAGCAGGAATTTTGGAAGTCATATGGCTATTCTCTTCTGTCCATCTTTGTTACTGGGAAATGAGGGCTTCTCTCTTACAATATCATCACCTTTTGTAATAAATAGCACCATATTAAATCTGTACAGGATTTAATGTAAATCGTGAAGTAGTTACTGTTTCATGTTAATGTAATTTTATGGTATATGTTTTCATATATTTTCTGCATTCTGATGTTGAGCATATTTGCTGTCTTGGGACAGCTTGCAGAGTTGTGTTATAAATGACTTTTTTATAAAAGTGCCTCATACAGTCTGTTCTCAAAAGTGGTTGTTAATTTAGGGACTTTATTAGAGGATTCTAGTTTGACACGCAAATTTCCCAATAGGTTAAACTTTATAGGAGAGTTGTGAAGATCAAACAACATGATTTGTATAAAAGTCTTTTAAGAAGACAGCATTATAAAAATTTATAGTTGTTGCTTGTATTATCTTCAAAAGCACTGCTTTGCTCGTGATTCACAAAAGTAGAAAAGCAACAGAAATTGGTGGTA